AAAATATCTGAAGGTGATCTCATGACTTCTGTTCTTGCTGGAGTTTTGGATCATACTTAAGCATTGTGATGGAATAATAGGACCATGAAGAACATCATCAGGCAGTCAAAGATTTCAGAGCCAGCTGAAAGCAGAGGACCTCATGCTATCCCATTATGTACTCATGGTACTCAAGCGTTTGCAGCTGTTCCAATAGATTTATCAAGCATTTAAATATGCAACTGGTTTGCAGTTCCAGAGTGTGGACTTAACCTCCTTCAACATGAGAGGGAATTTTTGTATTTTGCCAAAAATTTCACAATGACATTTTTTGTGAGACTGAGTATTAGTTAGTTATTGATATAGCCTTGGTGTTTAAAGAGGTAAGTGTAATATTTATAGAATCTGAGAATGAGGAAATAGGAGTTTGTGTGTTAATTATTCAGTCATCTAGACTACTGCATGGGAATAGAGGACTTTCTAGGACTACCTTGGAGCATACCCCAGATCTCACTTACACTTCTGTCAACTGAATACAGAAAAGGCAGTCATAGCGCCATATACTTACTAAACAATGAACAAGGATACCTAAAACCCACAGAATTCTGTCTTGAGGCTTCACCCACTCACACTGCATCTCCATTGAATGCAGTTGCCAGATTTTTCTCTGGCTCTACCACCAACTTCCTGTGGCTTGTGGCATGAGATTTCAATACTTTGTGTCCATTTTCATAACTGAAGAGTCAGGCATCACATTGGGACATTTTGTTATAAGGCTTTCAATATCCTTTACAGTCCAAAAATGAGGTTGTTCCAATTAGACCCAATGGGTCAGAGCTACAAAGAGATAAATGCTGAGTGTCCTGGAAGGAAGAGCCTTATAACAGAGTCAAGAAATGGAATGTGCTTCAATTCAGGAAAGGTTGGGGCAACCCTTTACAGGGATGTTACAGAGGGAATTCAACCCTTGTACAGAGGAGTGGGTGTGTTGTGACCAAATACTATTTAAAATTGTGTCCAATATGCAAGATTCATAGCCTTATGGACTGTGATTTGGAACAAATTAACAGTGTATAAGGCAGATCAGTTTTATCTTAGCATCATTTTAGTCAGCTATGTAGTGGTGTAGACGATAATCCCTATCATACTACTTTGTACAGTATTGTTACTAACGTTTGTAAGCTAATCAAATGGGAGACATTTTTAATCTTATGTTACTATATTTTATACTATGTTTTAATTTATTGTCATAAACTTTGTTATTATATGTTTTATATATAAATAAGCATGTATAGTGTACATGTTATTATATACTGTATTTTAATTCACTGTTATTACTAAGAACGCTGATAACTTTAGCTATATTGGAGAAGTAGGATAAATAGGAAAGAAGTAATAGCAATCCAGTGATTATACAGTGGCTCTGCCATCATTTGGGGAAGTTGGTAATTCAGGCAGGAGAAGTAGATTGGAAACAACCTTGGGAGGTTGTTACATCTCATTTTTGTTCCTAATCCAAGCTGTACAGATGAGTCACAATTCCATTTTTAGGAGATTCCTTCCATATCTATCTTTGGGAACCTCTACCCTTTCTGTTACTATTAAGTGTCATTTAAAAATTTAGAGTCACTATTCTGTTTCAAAGAAACACACGTGTCATATGCATGCATTTATATGATTTAATATGCTATATACTTTATGTAATCACACATACACATATAAACAAAGACAATTCAGAAACCCTACTGTGGGTGTACACACACACACACACATTCACACATACATGAGTATACACATATGTGTAAGCATGTTGTTTATACATATGTTGCATATAGCTTGCTATAGCTGTGCCTAACACTATATTAAGTGCCTTGATTTTTTAAAAATATTTTAATGTTTTATTTCTGAGAGAGAGAGAGAGACAGTGTGAGCAGGGGAGGATCAGGGAGAGAGGGAGACACAGAATCTGAAACAGGCTCCATGCTCTGAGCTAACTGTCAGCACAGAGCCCAACACGGGGCTCGAACCCATGAACCGTGAAATCATGACCTGAACCAAAGTCAGACGCTTAACCGACTGAGCCACCCAGGTGCCCTATTAAGTGCCTTTATTTTTTGAAGGGCTGTAGAAAACAGAGAAAAGAACTAAAGACTGCAGATATAAGAGGTAATGTTACAGCAAGTTACTATCCTAAAAGAAGGGAGTTGAGGGTGAAGACACCATTATTCTGGTTTATTTCTTGCTTATTGGTAATACCTGTGACCTTTATATGAAAGACTCTACAAATATATAATGGATAAAATCCAGATATCCTTTAAGACTCCTTGAGCTGGATATGGAATTCTTGAATTACTGTATTGTACAGCCGAAACTAATATAGCACTGTATGTGAACTATACTTGAATTAAATAAAATAAAATAAAGACCCCTTGAGCTGGAAGCGATATTAGTGATTTTCCAGTTCAACCTATTACATATTATCAATGGAGCCGAGAGGCTAAAGGACTTCTTGAAGGTCATATAGTGAGTTAGTAATAAGACTGAACTAGGATTCAAATCTTGTGACTTCCAGCATAGTGCTCTCTGTTACCTGGGACTTAAACATTTTTGTTTAGCAGAGATTTTCCTCTATAACCTCTCAACAGCGAGTACCGTGTCTGACCCATAATAAATGCTCAATAAATGTCAAATTAATACACAGTGGCATTGGTTGTACTGGGCTTTGCACTTATTCCTGGGTAAATTATAGAGGATATCTGTGTTTTAGGCCAAAAGACATTCTAGGACAAAGTATGAAGTATAGCTACGGAGATGATCTGAGTTCCAAATTGGAAAAAAAGAAAACATACTTTTTCCATTGTAATCTTCCTCATTCACAGGATGGTTTACTTTTAGCAGTGGAATCTAGTACTCCTCTGGGAGCCCTAATCCATTAGCTCTGTAACCATTCCTTTGCGAACCTAAGTTCAGGAGCTAGTATTTTCCTGTAGAAGAAGAGATTCCTCAAAGAAGTATTCATAATTTGACCCTATTTTACTGATTAATGTCACAAACTAGTCCTAAGGATTGCAGTGGCACCAAAAACTGTGGGGATGTCCCCATTCTAGAACACCCATGGCACTGCAAGTAAACCCACTGGGATTGTATATAGGGCCTCCCTTCTAGGAGTTGATACTCAAATACTGAATGGCACTCACAGCAACATACTTTCTGTGCACAAGTAACAATCTGCAGTTTGCAGCAGAAAAAGGCTGTTAGGAAATTATGTATTCTGTTAATACAAATAAAATCCTGTGATAATGTAGAAAGAGTACTGGTTTAGAGGCCTTAGTTTTCTCAACTGTTAAGTAAAAGTAATGATAGTACCTATGTCAAAGAACTGCTGAGGTTATTCATTTAAATGGCATAGGTGAACTTGCCAGCACAGGCTTGGTTCATAGCAGGTACCTATTAAGTAGCAATATTCTTCCTTCATAGGTCTCCAATTGAGTGTTCTTCGGGCAAGTCACTTTCCCAGAACTCATCCTTGGAATTAAAGGATTATACTGGGGTAGTTTTTAACAGTTCCTTCAAGCCCAGCATTCAGAGCCTTTAACAAGGGGAAGGGAATGAGAGTAAAGGGGTGAGGATGAAGGTGTCGGGGAGGAGGGAGGGAAGGAAGGAAAGAAAGAAGGGAGGGAGGGAGCAAGGAAGGAAGAGGCAGGTTTTGCTGACCTGGCTCCTATGGAGTTTCCTACATAAAATAACCTACTATAATACAGTGTTTTCTGTGCCCAATCTGTACATTTAAGGGTTGAAAAGGGAGATAAAAGCCAAGCTATAGCTAAATTTATGTGCTTCCCCCCCACTATCAAATAGCAATAGCTCTTCAATTTTTCTTCCTTTTCCCTACCACAAACATGCCTCCTCTGCCAAAAGAAGCCTCCCTAAAATCAGTCTTCTCACATAAAGTAAAGCACAGCAGTAAATAAGAAGGACTTGCATAAAGAAGTCTTGCATGTTTCAGAGCAGCAGGGTATGTATGTCTTGTCTGTTTCTGCTGAATCTCCCTCTTCTACATGTGTATTCATTCAGTCAGTGTTTATTGAGGGCCTACTGTATGTCAGGCCTATGTTAGGAGCAAGGAGGCAAAAAATTGAGTAAAATATGTATTTTTGAATGGACCTCCATGTCTTTATTTGATCCTGAGGATCTATGAGTCTGAAGATATGTATATGTTTCTGTGTATCTGTGACAACTCCAGGTGTACACAGCAGCAATTGGTTTTCTCCCACTGGCTTCAGAATACTTCCTTTCACTTGGTATGATTCACTTACTAAGAGTGAGCTTTATCTCTGATTTTTATAACCTAGAAGACTGGGGACATGCTGAGAACAAACTGAGGACTGATGGACGTGGGCGGGGGAGAGGGGAAATAGGCATGGAGGAGAGCACTTGTGGGGATGAGCACTGGGTGTTATATGGAAACCAACTTGACAATAAACTATTTGTAAAAAAAAAAAAAAAAAAAAAAGTAGAAATCTCATGGATTTCTCTTTCTTAGAAGTTTTACCTGTATTTTTATTATGAAAAATATGCATTCTGTTAGCTCAGGTATGATCCTTTGCATGATTACAAGGATCAGGAGGAAGAAACATTGCCTAAGCCCAAGTCTCTGCTATTCCATGCTAAAGGAGTAGTAATTTCTGTCATGAACCATTTTCCCATGGACATTCTTGACTTTTAGTAAAGGTAGAATGTCTTATTTTTAAAAAACCATTAAGTAGTTCTTATCATGAAGGGGAGTATTAACAGGACCTTAATTGTTCATCTAGATGAAAAACATCTATGAAACCAAACAATATAGCATTGAATTAAACTAGCTTGTGTAATTCTGTGTAATCAAATTGTTTAGGGTCATCCTCTGTCCACTTCTCTCATCTGACAGGGTTATCTCTATGTCCTTTCTGCCTAGAAACGCCAAAGGAGAGAGACTCTGGAAATGCATTAACGGGTGTTTCCTCTTCTGTTTGTGCTCCTAGGAAAACAAAAGTACCTGTGTGCCAGCAGAAATGATTGCACCATCGATAAATTCCGAAGGAAAAATTGTCCATCTTGTCGCCTACGGAAATGCTATGAGGCAGGGATGACTCTGGGAGGTATGATACTTTTCTCCCTTTGTCTTTCTCCCTCTCCTTTCCTCATTCTCTTGTTCTCTCTTTAAACCAGATTTTCCTCTTTGGTGCTCCTTAGGTGGCCAGTCATACTCTAGGTTCGGGCTGACTCCTTCATGTCTACCATGGACATCAGCCACCTGGTGCCTTTCTTTATCCTTAACGATGTCACACCCCACTCTGGGGCCTAGCATAGGAGCAGAATATGTGAAGCAGGGATCAAGACCCATCAGGGGATAAGTGAGTGTAGAGTCAGGGGACACAATGATAATGGCCTTGTGTTATTGAATGATGGCTAGGATGAGAGAACTATGGAATCAGTAATAGTCACAGGTGCAGGATGACCCAGACACAGGCTGGTCCTAAACAACCAGGAATATCCTCAGTTAACTTCTCCCTACAGTATAAGATCTGGCCATCTGGAATGAGAAGCTGCTTCTCTTTGCAGTCTATGACTAGACTGCCAAGCAGAGCCAGTTTCCTATCCCATTTCTCCCAGGGTTGAGCAGGCCTTTTAATAATTTCCTTCTCTTTGCAAATCTATCGATAATTTCCAAAAGCATTTTTTTCAGTAGCACTGTAGCTTAGCAGAAGTAAGGTACAGCTTTTTCAAGGGCAACCCTTCATCATAAGGCTCTCTGTCCGCTAGTCTGTGTCTACTATGAGCACTGTCACCATTACAGAAAGGCTTGGCTTACTCTTATACCTCCCCCTCCAAATTCATCATTTCTTCATGTTTATATCCACACAGTGGCAGGGTACTCTCTGCTGCCTGCTGATTCCAAAAAAAAAGCACCTTTCATGAGAAAAGCTAGCTCATTAGTCTACTTTGATTTGGAAATGGAATTTGGAGAAAAGTAAGCTCATTTCTGAATGTCTGAAACTGTAGCCTCCTACCTGATTACTCATTATCCTCCTGGAAAACCCAAGTTCCTAGAATCCTGCCATTTCCCCTCCCCCTCTCAAAGCTAATTTAGAGCACTTGTCCATCCCTGGCTTTCTGTGAGGTGCTCAATCCCTCTATCCATGTACCTGTTTATATAAACCAACTTGTTCTCTGTATGTGGGTCTTCATATTAATAGCTGCATCCTCCCTTCCTTAACAGAACAATAATGGTCTTTTTTAAATTTTTTATTTATTTATGAGAGAGACAGACAGACAGACAGCGTGAGCAGGGGAGGGTCAAAGAGAGAGGGAGACACAGAATCTGAAACAGGCTCCAGGCTCTGAGCTAGCTGTCAGCACAGAGCCCGATGCAGGGCTCAAACCCACGAACCATGAGATCATGGCCTAAACTGAAGCCAGGCATTTAACCAACTGAGCCACCCAGGTGCCCCAACAATAATAGTCTTTACACAGACCAAAGTCCTGCAAATAAATTAACTCAGGTTCAATTGGAAACAATTGTAACAGAACCATTTTCAAAAGTGGCTAGTACTCCCAGACATGGCAGGCATATGCTCTGTGAGTAGTTTTCCAGGCAGCCACATTAAATAAGACTCAAATATCTGAGAAAGACCAACCTTGTTCTTATTTGCTTGTTATACTCCAGAGAAATCCAACAATTGTGGTCTACGGAGAGGAGGAAGAAGTAGGACTGGGGTGGAGAAGTGCAGAATGAAAGCCAGGAAAGGTGACAAAGGGACTGATAAGAGGAAGTTTTCTTCATATGACTGTTACAACCCAATGGTGAGAGTTCTGATCCACTCAGCTCTCAATATTTAGCCCTCTGTGAATTGTGTGTAAGAGATGGGGGCTCCCAGGTAGGGAACCTCTTGTTTTTCAATCTGATGATATGAATTGCAAACCCACTTTGATGCAAGTGATGTTTAATGGTAACAAAAGTCCTCATAAAATTTGGGTTCAAATCTTAAAATTAGTTTCAAGTTTCAGCCAATATCTTCCAGTATAAAGCAGTCTGTGACATGATTATAGTGAGCCCTTTCTGAAAAAGAGTCTGTGTATACCAGGTAATTTCACTTCTCTGTATATCAGTCATGCATAAATCTGTAAATTTCATGGAGAGAGAGGTACAGTAAGTTTTCAAATTGGTTTATTGATTAGAGTGCTCAAATTTGAATGGGCTTGGTCAGCACAATGAAAAGAAGATGAGAAGTGCTGTGAATGGCTTTTGTTTCAGCTCCATTTCTATGATATTTATTAAATGTGTATGATATACAAAGGCACCATACTAGGCAATAGAGCTCAGGCTGGCAAACTTGAAGAAATGTCTACAAGATACAAAGATTATTGATCTTATATAAGTGATCTTGCCTTTGGAGTTAGGCATACCAAAGTTAAAGGCCCAGATCCATTATTTATAGTGCCCCTCTAGGCCTCAATTTCTTCATCTGTAATTTAGAGATATCACTCTCACAGAGACATGATGAATGTGAACATCTTTGGTAAATGACAACATGCTAGACAAATTTGAGGGCTAGTAATTTAGATGGTAAGCTGTTCAAGGCACTTACCAGTTGGCTTTTACCCTGAGTTACTTGTCATGCCCTATAATATGTAACAATTCTAACAGGCATAGCATCACCAGAAATCACTTCTGATCACCTCAAACTAAAAGTACCATCAAACTCCTGTTTGGAAGCCAATTCTAGTAATTAAGGGAATCATATATTATATTCAAGTACCATGCCAGTAACATTCCAAGTGTTTACCCACTTATATACCATTGTTTGAAAAATAAATCTTTCCATTTTGCTAAAGTTACCTCCACATTCCCTGACTCTGCTGGAAACCCCTCTCAAGTTTATGGTTAACTTGCAAATTCAATGTACACTACACCTTTGCTTAAAACAATGGAAAAATGATAGAAAACATAAATGCAGAGTGGCCCTTTAAATACTTAGGCAATAGACTTCCTTTTTCATAAGATTTGAGTTTAGCATAGACATTCTGATCACACTGAAGGAAAATTCATATAATTTTTTTTAATGTTTTATTTATTTCTAGGAGAGAGAGAGAGAGACAGCGTGAGCAGGGGAGGGTCAGAGAGAGAGGGAGACACAGACTCTGAAACAGGCTCCAGGCTCTGAGCTGGCAGTCAGCACAGAGCCTGACGCGGGGCTCGAACCCACGAACCGCGAGATCATGACCTAAGCGAAAGTCGGACGCTCAACCAACTAAGCCACCCAGGCGCCCCCATATAATTTTGTTTTATTCTTCCCATCAGTCAACTCAAAATGGTATCCTGAAATGGCAACTAGGAATGTGGCCTTGAGCAAGTCCCTTCTCCCCTATGAGACTCAGTTTTCCCATCATAAAATTGAGATAATGAGATTTACCAAAGATCTTTATGGCACTACCAATTTGTGATTCTGTGTCTATAGTCATAGAGAAAGCTTATTAGCCTTTTTGTGGATTATGTATCCATTGCTCTCAGAAGCATAAGATAGTCTAGACCTGAGTATTTTGACTTGAATAGTAATTTTAGCTACCTTGGATATATTATGTGTCCACAAATAGACTAGATATACAGATTATTGATGGAGTGGAGGACAAAAGGGTTACACTTGTATCTTAGAGAAGCTGGCACACTATAGCTGATGCTTACTTGGTCTTAAGGCCTCAAGATCTCTGTTTCTCTGTAGTGTTTCATCTATTGTTTGGTAATGGGATCTCCATAACTCAGAGACACTTAAAGAACATAGCTTTTTTTCCTTTCTGTTTCTAGGCCTATCTACATCTTCATTGCTTCTTTTTTAGCAGGTCTTGGTGTTTCTTGGTGTTTTCAGGAGTGGTTGGATTCCAGAGTGCATTCCTTAGAGACTACCTTCAGGCTATTAAAATAGTTACAAATATAACTGTCCAGAAAATAACCTTCCCTCTGGTGAATTACCTGTGGGTTTTTCACAGACCATAATTAGAATAAGTACACAGCCATCTCTCACTTTTGTCTGCACTTCCCAATGATATACTTCAAGTTTTCAAGGTGTAATGAGAAAGAAAGTATTGCCCTGACCTGCCATCTTCTCTCCTAACCCTCTCCTCCTTCTCACTGAAACCTCCTATTCCCTCCCAAATATTTTTCTTTTTGCATTTTGCAACTCGTGATTTCTCAGCTTTTAATAAATGACATTGGCACCTGCTTACTTCCTCTTCTCCTGGACCATGGAAGACAGTGGGTCTTTCAGGAATATGTAGCAGCCAAACCCAGAAGAGGAAAATAAACCTGGAACATGTGAGAATCTAAAGTGTTCAGCATTTTATTCAGAGGTTACTTAAGCATATTTGAAAAGTCTCTTTTCTACTAGAAGACTGAACTTTACATCTGAGACTCAAAACTGTTAACAGATTTACAGGTTTTAAACAACCTCCGGGATTCTGTAGTTGGGAAAATGGCTCAGGGAGCCCATGGCTATGATCTGATGTCATCATGGACACTATGAACATCCTTGTAGTTTCCAGTGTTGAAGACAGTCTTGATGCCAGCTCTTTCAACATTCTCTATGCTAAAGAGCAGCCCTGAATTGCTGCTTCTGGATCATATGTTCTGGATACAAGAGAATGATTCCAGTGATGAAACACTATTCACAGCATGGGTCTTTGGAAGACAAGTTTCACAGCATTTATTCATCCATCTATTTATCTGTTCATCCTTCCAACTAGCCAACTAGCTAGTCCTTTGATCTTTCCATCAATTCCCTCATCTATTTATCCATTTGGAAAATATTTTTAAGATTATTTATTTATTGTTGAGAGAAAGCAACCATGTGCATGAGCATTCATGAGTGGGGGAGAGGGAGAGAGAGAGAATTACAAGCAGGTTCCACACTGTCAGCGCAGAGCCAGACACAGGGCCTGAGCTCATGAACCGTGAGATCATGACCTGAGCCAAAATCAAGAGTTGGATGCTTAACCGACTGTGCCACCCAGGTGCCCCCATTTGGCAAATATTTATTGAGTTCCCACCCTGTGCCAGACACTATGGTAGGCATTTTGAGGAGCAAATCTCTGACTTCAAATATTT